TCAAGCTCTAAAAAAGCGGGAAGTTCCAAGGTTGGCCTACCGGTCAACCGCTTTTCAGATTTTTTTTAATTATTTTTTTTTCACCATTTGCCTGTATTAATTATTCTAAATCTTCCCTGCAAATTTGGCCGGTTATTGAAAAATAACCCTGTATTTTTGGACTACGTCGCGGGTGTTGGTTTCGAATTCTAATTTAACCAGTGCCAACATTTGTTCAGACACAATAGGTATTTGTTTTTAAGGTCATGGCCTCTGGCTTTTTTATTGACCCATAAAAGTCCTATTGTTTCATCGTAAGGACTGAGGATGTTCCACATGTTTAGCGTAATCGTTAAAGAACTTATTTGGCATAATATCGTTATACCCATAGAATACTATAATTACATACATAATAGAACGACGCAGTGGGCGGAGCCCGTGTAGCCACTAAAATGTCACTAACACGTCAATTCACACGTATAAATGTCAACACAGGATGTGTTTTGACGTTACAATCGTTTTCGTATTTTGGCATGCAAATTATTTACAAAATGTCAAATTGCACGCTATTTACAAATAAATATGTATTAAAATCTGTCTGTCAATACAGCGAATCGGGTTTGTAGTAGTGATAATATGACGTAATTTCTTGTATGTGTGCTCCCGGCGACGCCTTTCTCGTACAAAATAAGGTTGACAGCCATTCTATTGTGTATTATAGTATTCTATGGTTATACCTATCATCTATGGTTTGAATTTATTTCGGAAGCCCGAAAATTTATTGGCATCCTTTCTACATAGGAAAAGGAGTGATCTCCCACTGGGTGAGGTGTTCAGCACTGGGAATGGTCAACGCTCCGTGTGTTGTTTTGGGAGCTGTTCTTTATATATCGTGGTAGCTTAGGAACTTTAATAGCGCGATGAAGCGGCGCTGTCGTCGCGCCACAATGGTGTTAGGTGTGCTAGGGTGTTCAGACTCTTAATAGACAGTTGCCTATTTTGCTTTTAGGCTTATGTAATTGCCCACGAGATGTAATGAATTATTATATACTACCAACATGTCAGCAACGTGCGTCTTGAAAGACGATATTAGTCCAATAGGTAGTAATAAATTATTAGGTTTATCTTATTCGTTATTTTTAAACACGAAAGGCGACGCTAAAGCTGTTTTTTTAAATAGAATACGGTTACCTGATGGTTGAGTGGATGCTGTGGCCCATAGACATCTACATATTATATCCTCGGACAAGCATTTTGATGCTTATGCGTTGTCACCCCTAAGGACTAAGATGGAATACCTCGTTTCCAGTAAAAAAGGTCCCAGGTGCTCTACACTCACCATACGAAGCACTGCAGCATTAAGTTATTTTACATTAGTGTTGTATGAGAGCGTGGTCCTACCCCGGTCGAGCCGACCCAATCATTCTGCATAATATGGCTGCAGGGGGCTCTACGACGCATAAACTATGCGACCGAAGCGTACCTACCAATGCAATGTAAGAGTTGAGATGCACATGAGTGTATCCGAGCTCATACATTGCAGATATAATATGTGACGGCATAAATGTCATCTAAAATATAACTACTTCCTAAATAAAATATGCACAATATTGACGAAATGCTCAATAATAAATATTTTATCATAAATGTGAACTTTTGTTCACGGTTCACCTAGCGTCAGGCTTCCTTAGTTCCTTAGTTACCAAAATACAAATCTGTCTAAACTTGGAATAATAATATCTCCAGACAGCGTAAGGATCGTAATCCTTTATTAAACTAAGTTCATTTTTTGAGAAAATAGGAGAATACAAAAAATAGGACATTTTGTTCTCGAGTAAATATCAAAATGCAGATGCGTTGTCCTAAGAACTAAGATGCAATGCCTCATATCCAGTAAAAGTGACCTCCGTTATCTGCACTCACCATACGAAACACAGTAGCATTAAGCTGCTATTTTACTTCCGCTGGTATTCTACTTTTACAGTAGGATTCTGGTGTGGGTCTGGTCCTTTCATTCCCATTCAAACTTTAATAAATTAAAAAATTAAAAATGTTTATTTCAAATACACAATGTTTTAACATACATGATCTGGAGAACACCTTTTAAGCAAGGAGATGCTTGTGATAAGGGTGACTACGCTTTTCCACTTAACATTATACAGAGTATGCAATTGATATCAAAAAATCAAAAACAAAATAAAAGTCCAAAATACAAAAAGGATATGAAGCGCATATGAGTGATGTTTGTGTGTGTGTACATTATGTATATGAGTTAAATTAGTTTGCATGTGTGTAGATATAAGTTTTAGTTTAGGTTAGCCCTGCTACAATATAAGCCAGGCACTGCTTCTTCCACTAACGATTTCCTTACTGAGGTTATAACGGTTAAGGTTATGAGGTTATAAAGGCTTAAGACTAAAACCGTAGGTTTTAGTCTTAAGCCTTTAGCCATTCCTTTTTTCCATTCCTTTAGCATTCAGTGACATTTAATGTACAGTCACGAAGTTTTAGAGGATACATGTGTAGCTCTTTATTCAGATGGTTACTGAATAAAGAGCTACACATACGTAGACTACTATCATAATATAGCTGTAGTATGGCTCTACTACGTAAGCATGGATCTACGACATAAGCATGGCTCTACGACGTAACCATGGCTCTACGACGTAAGCATGACTCTACGACGTAAGTATGGTTCTACAACGTAAGCATGACTCTACGACGTAAGTATGGTTCTACCACGTAAGCATGACACTACGACGTAAGCATGGTTCTACGACGTAAGCATGGCACTACGACGTAAGTATGGTTCTACGACGTAAGCATGGCTCTACGACGTAAGCATGACTCTACGACGTAAGTATAGTTCTACAACGTAAGCATGACTCTACGACGTAAGTATGGGTCTACAACGTAAGCATGTAGACGTGACTCTACGACGTAGTATGGTTCTACAACGTAAGCATGACTCTACGACGTAAGTATGGTTCTACAAAGTAAGCATGACTCTACGACGTAAGTATGACTCTACGACATAAGCATGGCTCTACGACGTAAGCATGACTACGACGTAAGCATGGCTCTACGACTGCAGATGTAACCCGAATGGGCGGCTCGACCGCGGAATGACGCAATACCAGCATACGAGCTCAGAATACAACACAGAATATTTTACAGTGTTTAATAATTATTTGTTTCGTATGGTTAGTGTATAAAACAGGGACCCTTATTACTGAAAATGAGGTATATCATCTGTCCTTGGCACTTGGTACCTAAGACACTTGGTAGATGTAGGTATCTATGGGCCATAGCACCCAGTTACCATATGATGGACTGTGTGCTCGATTGTCAACATTAAAATAATAACCGTTAAATAAACAAAATTAACATAAATAAAACAGTTAATATTGCACATACATTTATTGTTACATTATAAAAACCTACGAATAATAACAATATATTATACACACTTACTTTTTTTGAGTAGCTTATATTTGCATTATATTATGTTTAACAAACGAAGGAACATACAATCTCATTATACAATTTTTTATTTATCTAAGTTTTAATGCAGATTTTAACTATATTTTGTAAGATGATTTTAATATTAAAATTGAAATAATAAATACTGTGTTGGACTCGACTGTCAAGCACTTATGAACTCTAAATTGAAAATATTTAAGGTTGTACAAATGCACTCTTCGAACGAACTAATTTTCTAGTAGATAAATATAATATATCTATTTTATTGGCCTTAATTTACAATAATACACATTAAACACTCTACACATTAGGGTGCTTATACACTAAGTCGAATAGGTTGCTGCAAGTTGGTTTGAGTTCTTGCTTATTAACCCAGTTTTTTGGGTAAGTTTCGATATAGTTAGGATACGCAACCACAGTCTTCAAACTATAATGTAAATAAATATCAAAGTTTATTTAATGTCTTTTGGATTTTTATCAGCAAAGAAATTCAATAATACTAAACGCAACATTACTTACTTTACAATGTTTTCGCGCGCTTTTTGACAGTCAGTAAAAATAAAATAAATTAAATCTATATTTAAAAAATAAATAACATATTAACACACATTAATATTGATTAAATATAAAATTAACAATTACTTAAATTATGGCATTTTATTAAATTTGAGAGCGCAAAATAAATTCGTTAAAAAGAACAATATTATTTTACAGAATATACCTTTTCAAAATCTAAGTAAACTGTTTAAAATTTGTCTCTATTGTAAATATATTATTCTCTGATATGATTTTTTAATTAGTTACACTCACACATACACAAGAACCTTAGTCAATGAGGGTTAACAATTTTCCGTTCACCAGTTGACACTGCGTTGAAGTTTTTGTTACACAATATCATTTAATTGAGAAGTTTGTTTTGAATAAAAGTTTATCAGTTTCTAGTGCATTATACTTACACATAGCAATGGCTCAGTCGTTTGGTCTTTCATTTTTTTTCTTTCTTTTTTTAATTTTTCCACTTTTGTGAATATTTGTGGTTTGTTTTATTCATTTTTAATCTAATTAAAATAAAAAATAACAAATAGTACAGAAAGAAACATTAAACTTTACATTTTTCGAATAAATTAACTTCTTCACTATGAAATCTGTCAAATATTACACTTCACTTTTAAGTGGCGCTGCCCTGGTGGCAGAAAAAGGCCTCATTGTTCCAGACACATACCATTTATAAAAAAATATACTAAGCTTTCAACAAATATCTGTTACATGTTTTTATTTAAAATGGATATCAAATTAGCTGCCTCAATTACTTTATATATATATGGAAATTCACTTAAAATATTTTATTACATATTAAAACTATACATCGACAGAGGAATGCAATATCCAGAAAGCAGACAAATCTTTGGTAACACATAGACAAAAATATTGCTTTTCGTACAACAATTGTGAGACCAAAGAAACACTTAGCCAATCATAGACTAACATCTAGTAAGTCTTTGTAGAAAAATATACTACCATCAGTCACCTTGATTCATTTATTTCTTGTTTGTAGAATTTGTTTGAGTCTGTGGTTCCGCGCCAAGCATGATCTGGATTTCATCCACACTCTTTCCCTTTGTCTCCGGTACGATAAAGAAGATAAATACGAAGCCTAATAACATGATGCCTGCAAACATCCAGAATACTTGACCTTGTCCGATAGCATTGTTCAAGAAGTTGAATGTACTAGTGACAGTGAAACTAAGCAGCCAGTTGAAAGTACCAGCAGTGGAACTGACAAAGGCTTTGATATCGATCAAGCAAAGCTCACCGGCCATCATCCAAGGAATGGGTCCAAAGCCCAATGAGAAAGCGACAATGAATAACGAAAGAGACAGTAATGGCAGCCATGAAATGGCTTCTATGATAGAAGAACCAGCTCCGTGAACCTCCTGCATGAAGAAATACACACCGAGGGCAGTTGAACAAAAACACATAACTAGAGCAGAGAATAGAAGGAGCACTCTTCTGCCCAATTTATCAACGACCAAACTGGAAACAAATGTGGCTATAACTTGGATGACACCAATAATAATTGTTGCAATGGCGGTTGGAATAGTTGCACCGGCACTGGCGAAAATAGTCGACGTGTTGAAAATCACAGCATTGATACCAGACAACTGTTGGAACAACATCAGAGCATAACAAATAAGGATGGCCTTTAGAGCAGTCTTTTTCGTAATAGCAGATGAAAAGGACACTGGGTTATTTTTTGCTTCCTCTGCCTTGTTAATTAATAAGCTTAGTTCAGTATCGACATCGTAATTTCTGCCACGAAGCCTGATCAACGCTTCTTTTGCATCATCATTTCTTCCTTTTACGACTAAATAGTTCGGACTTTCGGGCATAAAGAAGAAAACAATACCAAATATGATAGGAATCAATGTACACAGGATGTTGAAAACAAAAACACTGGTGTAGCTTCCAACGACGTAAGAGAACAGTATACCAATTGTGAGCATAAGTTGGAAGTAACTGCCAAGGGTTCCACGGATAGAGTCTTGAGCTATTTCACTGGTGTAGGCTGGAGCTGTGACACAAAAGGCTCCACCAGCTATACCGGTGATGAATCTTCCAGCCATAAGCATTCCAACATTGCTTGCAAATGTTATCAGTAGCCATCCCAGGGTGAAGGGCAAAACAAGGCACAGCATAGTTTTCTTACGTCCTAGAGCGTCCATTATGAGTCCGATAGGGAAGCAAACTGCCGCAGCGCCCAAGTTAACGAGGGAAGAAACCCAATCACCTTCTGAACTTGACACTTCAAATTCATAATCGGTGCTGTTGGCTTGCGTTATTTTAAATACGACTGGAGATGACCATCCAAGCATGGAACCAGCTGCTAATGCTCCCAGGGTAGCTGAAAATAAATAAAAGATTTAAAGTTTTACGTTAGATAGATGGATAGACAGAACATTTATTTTCTTAAAACATGGTATACAAAATGGTCAATAATGTGGAACAGACATGTTTTGCCATAACTGGCATGCAAAAATTAAGTTAAATACAATAAATTACACTAAGCTTAAGGTAATGTAAAAATATAGCCATAGCAGCTATCGCAAATCTTACAGGTCACAGTTGATACTGGTCTTTCTAGATCAGTAATAACTGCGACTTTCACTCGTGGTAGAGCCATAATGCAGCTTTATTAGTAGTATAGGTGTAGCACGAACGGGTCGGCTAGACCGGGGACGGACTACGCTCTCACAGAATACCAGCCTAAAATAGCAGTTTAACATAGCAGTTTAAAATAGCAGTTTAACAGTGTTTCGTATAGTGAGTGTAGACAACCGGAGACCCATTTTACTGGTAATGATGCATTACATCTTAGTCCTTATGGTCAGTGGCATGACAGCGCATCTGCATTTTAATTTGTTATCGAGAATAATAATAATTTTTTTTTCTCACCACAAACGACATGGAAGATACATTAGAGTAACATCTCTATTTTAACAATATTATGTCATTCATGGGAGATTGGTGCCCGTGTAGGTTTAAAGACCTATGTTACAGGTCACCAGACCCCTCTTGAATTTACTTGGCAACTAGTATATATTATACAGAGATCACATATGTTATAGTTAGAAATAATATTACATAGAACGAATTATCAGTTTGGATACATAGAAATAAAAAATAAAAACATTTTATGTCTGTAGCGTATGTATGTGAGTGAGTGACTGTTAGTATGTCCTTGTGTATATTTATGAGACTAGCTGTTCCCCGCGACTTCGTTCGCGTGAAGTTTATTACGATTAAATTCCATGGATCTGAATTTTTTTGCGAATAACCCAATTCTTTTTCTAAAATAAAAATATGACTAAGTTACTCCTTATAACATAAGCTATCTGTCAGGGAAAGTCCTGACAAAATTGGTTCAGCTATTTCGGAGATTAACCGGAACAAACAGAAACAACCTGCGTATATCACGTGTCTGCGCCACGCGACTTGACATGACACCTCGCTCATTTAGTTCAATCATTTTGGCTAAAAAATTAGCAAAATTAATGTAGTACTTTTTATTCTATCGGCATATATATGTTATACAGAAAGTAAAAGCAAAATCTCGTAGATATGATTGGTTTTCGGCGTTACTACTGCATAATTTAACACAAAAACGTAGTTATTTTGACATAACTGTAATAGTTAGACATATGATACCACGGACTTTTTTGTAGATATTGATATCTTCTGTAAAACTGTAGTACGTCACTGCATTATTGTCAATAGTTTCCGCAGCGTATGCGATATAAGGATTCTTTTGGTATTTTTTTGACGCCGTGGGTTACATTAACGAAGTTTTTATACGGATCCCTAATTTTTTTTGAAAATATACTATAGCCTATGTTCATTAAGGATAATGTAGGATTCCAATGGTGAAAGAATTTTTCCAATCGGTCCAGTGGTTTTTGAGCCTATTCAATTCAAACAAACGAAATTTTCCTCTTTATAATATAAATATAATAATAATAATATATAATATAATATAATAAAATAAATATTGTCAAAAGTTTTAGGTAATTCTATATTTGTAAGTCATGAGTCTGAGCCTACCTCTCCCTAAGGTTCATAGGCGGGGGTTCATTTATCTCGAGCAATCACCAAAAAATAAATAATAGTGTAGAAGTGTAGATGCAGATAGTGTAGATTATTTGGAGTAATTTTTCAATGTTTGTGTATGACAGAGTCTGAAGATATTCCACGAGTCTATTTTTACATGGCCTGTTGAATTCATTAAATTTTTGGTGTAATTTATTATTTAAAGTTTTAACGTGAAGCAAGGCACTGACTGAGCTACCAGATGATTACAGCGATGTTCCTTTTGAGTTATTTAGATGTAGATGTCTATGGGCCACAGCAACCATTTACCATCAGATGAACTGTGTGCTCACCAACTATATTAATACAAGGATTAAATACTTAAGTTTAACCTTGTTGTATAGTAGAGGTGTTATAGAATCCACTATACCAGACAATAGCTCAAAATAATATGACATACCTAGCCATTTTAGCTTAGGGTTAAGTTATTTAGGTTTAATTGCAATTTTATGTAACAAACAGAAAAGCTGTTTCAAACACTGTCATAGCAGCTAGTAGCTACTACGTGCCCAATATTGATACTGATATTGCTATTATAGCAGTAATTGCAAATTTAAAATACTGTAATATTAAAAAAATATAATATCTATGTGTGTGTATGTATGTATATATGTATATATATATATATATATATATATATATATATATATATATATATATATATATATATATATATATATATAAATATGTATATGGACGTATGTATGTATGTTTGTGTATATATGTTTAAGTATATGTTTATATTTATAGACCATTAATAAATTGGAGTAGATATTTAAAGGGAAAGCTTTGTAAAATCAGCCGTGCACAAATTTCTGTTTTTTGTTAATATGTGTATATGGCTCTCACAATACAGGTCTACGTGCCTAGTGTGAGAACCACTGCTAAATTATTTGTAAAGGTGCTAACTGTTAAATAAAGTATTTTTCATTGTGCTAATTTACTGATCACTTCGTAAAATGTTGAAAAAGAACATTGCATGTCTAAGGAAAAAAGTACATAAATATATATAAAAATTATATAATTTGGTCAATTATGGTCATAGTTCATCACATGGACAGTTACCTGTTAAAGCTGCAATGTACTGGGGTAGTTTGCGCCCTGTGTCCCCACGGGGCTCGACCAGTGCAGCCTGTGACACTCCGATCTCCGCCATCCCGTTGTTTGCTTGTGTCTGCTGTAATAACAGAAATATTTAATTTAAGTCTTGATATTATTTTATTGGTCTTTTAAATTTGTTTTTAATAAGATAAGGGTGACAAAAGAAGTTGGGAAGACGAAATTCGTCTGACCTTAGGACCATATTGGACAAGGATCGCATTGGACAGAGTTCATTGGAGACTGTTGAAGGATGCCTATGCCAAAAGGCACGCCGAATTGGTTTTTGCTGTTAAATTGTGTCGCAATTATGTGGGCGAACCGTATAACAACACCAAGATCACTCTTCATTGATAAGTTTTGTTACTTAACCACCATAATTTTATGAAAACACGATTTTTTAATTTGTTACTTTGTAGGTTAGTTTGATTAGCCGGTATTGTCAGTTTATTACTAGGAAGTATTGGCGAAACTATGGGAGACAAAATACAAATATTATTACATCATCTTTCGAACAGGAGAACATTATTATTTTAAAAATCACTTTAGTTATTAGATCAGTGTTAGTTATGATAACTTACCTGCACAAAATAAATGAAACCCATGACATCACACACTAAATAGTATTTTTGTTAGTTCTTTCAAATATTTTTATATTTTTAAATAAAATAAATAAAACTAATCTACATAATAATTACTTTATTAAACCTATTTTGTTTAACTTTCATCTTATAAAGAAGTATATAATCAAAGTGTCGGCCGTTTGGTCTCCCATCTGGATGGATATATTTTTTATGTATTTTATTTCTTTATTTTATTTTATTGATATACTGTATGTATATTTATCATTTTCATTCATATATTTATTAAACTTTAACTAAAACTACATAAATATCAAAACTAACTATATACCAAAAAAATGTATGATATTATTTATTCGATAAACATGATACATTAAAGATGACAAAATTTGTCATCTTTAATGTACCATGTTTATCGAATAAATGGTATGGTAAACATGTGGATTATGTACAACTATTTAATAGTTGTACATAGTCCACAAGTTTACCATATCTGACATGTGAAAATTATTTAACATAATATATGAAATCATTATTTTTATAAGTAAGCAAGTCAATATATAAATAATTTAAATAAAATTAATTAAAAGTACAATTGTCATGTCAATCGTTATTATTTTATAGTTGGGCAAATCAAAATAAGTATATATAGAAAAAATTTAAATATCAAATGAGTACTTAATCTAATGGGAAATATGAAAGAGCTGGTATCACTCAGCTCGCCCCCGAGTGAAGCAGCGCGCTTGTTAAAGCAATTTTTTTTATGTGCGAGCAGCTATGTAGGTCTAGGGAAAGAGACCAGTATCACTGCGACCTAAAAGATCTATTATGATCGTATCGTGCTATGGCCATAGTTCACTCCTAAGCTCTATGTCTTCAATGAATAGGAGTTCCTTAGCCATGAGAAATTTCACTTCTTCTGGCCGGATAACATAGTTTCCCAGATGAGTGTTACATTTGCGTATTAAGGGTCCGCAATCAGTTAGGATGTGCAGAGGCGTTTCTTCTGTTATGGAACAGAACCGACACATCCTTGAGTTGCTTAGACTCGGGATGGACATGTGTTGTTAAGCAATAGTAGTTATGCATACTTGTGTGCGTAATAAGTACACAAGCGCCAAAGTGATTTAGCGCAACACTCTATCTAGACAGGTATATAATCAAATACTAAAATAGTGTTCTATTTTTATTCTTAAAATAAAAAACATTTAGTTAATAAATGCAGTAAAAAATAATAAAATAAAAGCAAAATAATAAGTGTGCCTCCGGGTGTAATAACACTATCTTAGCAAACATACTGTAACATCATAAGTATGTCCCACAACTGCAGGCACTAGTGCAACTAGACATAGGTCTTATCTCATTGCTGGTTTCATTACAGCGTTAATACTTTGAATTATACAAGGGCCGTACAAGTGATTTTTGTCAAGTCAATTTTACAAGAAAATTGAACCAACAGTTCAAATTTTTTATTACAAAAGGCTGTCTGAAATTAGGATCAAAATTCAATGCATAGTTTGGACAGTGCTAAATTCTATTATATTTGAAACCTGAATTTATAGATATTATATATTACAGATATCTCTCACCTTTTATGGTATACAACCGAACTTGTTGATTGTTAATGAATATATTACATATTTTTATCAAACAAGTGCTGTGCGGTAGAAATAAACAATCAGAGAAAACTTGCATTTCCAGGGTTAAATTAAACCCCAACTCAAACATAAAACAGCAACTACAAGATATTTTAAGTTCTTTTTGCATAGATCCATTTTATATCCATGGTTAACTATGAAATGAAAGTGGGACATTGAACACCTCAGTCTCCCATGTCATGTAATTAACCCCTAAGATACCGTGGACATGTTGACAGGTCCAAGTTTTGTGACCGCTAAGTACAGAGGACGTGTATACATGTCCGCATTACGTGCTGCTATTTTCGTCATTAATTGATATAAAAATACAGTATATTTTCGATTGAACACTATTTCATTCGATTCTGAACGAACTAAAGAATATTCTGTAGCATTATATTCACTCGGGTACATAGACATCATCAAATATAACAGCCATTCGCTTTTGCGTGCCGGTGCGGTTCGTTGCGTAATCGTTAAGTTTTGTGATTGTGATTTTAGTTGGATTTTCTTTCAAATAAACTGTAAGTAATGTTATTTATCTTTACTACGTAATGTTTTTGAATGATTTAAGTTACAACAACAGTAACTTTTTATGTTTCAATTGATAAAAAAGTAGAAATAAAAAACCTCTACGCGAACAATTCATAACGGTCAAGATTTCTAATAAGATTCTAATAAGATAATAATAGTATATTTCTTATTGGAATACCATAGTAAATACTTTTACTAGTAATTGCTAAATGTTATATCTATATGATTGTATAAGAAAAATAAAGGAAGACGATATAAAATATATACACAAAAAGGTTTTGAAAATGAGTTTAGTAAGCACGCGCAAACTGTCTATTGTCGAATTTTTAGCAAATGTTTGCAAGTGAAAAAGTAGTAATTATTATAATTATTACATGCATAATTTCGGTTCATTTAGGAAGAATATGTTGTATTGATTGTAAGGACATAAAAATAAAATAAAAACTTATGATATTTCATTATTCATAAAATAAAATTTATCGTCAGTAAGTACACTTTATCAAGATCCGTTAAAAACAAAGAGCTGTACAAAATAAAATAAACATTTATATGTTATGGTTATTGTTTCTACTTATCGAAAATCTTATCGGCTTTAAATAACTGTAACTAAAACATCTTTAAAAATAAATGAAAGGTTGTGAGAAACATAAATATTTAAAACAAGTGCCGCCAGCTGAGGTGACACGGACGCCCCGTACAAAGCTGTTTTTTGTTATGGCGGGCGCAGTGAGTGATAGGTTAAATCCAAGAAAATCCTTAAAAATTAGTTTCACTTAATATGTAGTAACTTTGTTAATATATTTTAAATTTTTATTTTGGTGATACATTTCTTTGTATATCACACATTGTTAATTATCTATACACATAAAATAAAATAGAAGTATCTGTCTTTATTTTAAAAATAACTCGCAATTTGCAAAGTAATCACCTTATTGAAGTTATCACCAATACCATAAAATACCAAGAGTGATCTAGGCTATACTCAATGTGAAGTTTTTCAGATTATATACACAAAAGAGATCCTTATAATTTATCTTCTATTTCTTAGTTTTAAAGTAAATTTCCACTTCAACATGAATTTAGAACAGTGTTAACATTTAAATTCAAAGTTGGTCATTTTCCCACATCACACAGTTTTCGATAATTAGAATACTAGCCCAAAAACAACTATTATTAGTTCATTGTTTAAGTTCCATGCGGATGAAGTCGCGTGTAAATGCTAGTAATATTTGTATTTCAAAATTATTTTACTACGATTTACCTCATCATCTTGGATTCGGGTAGGTCCAGGCTCCCGAAGTAACGGTTCATATTCAGAATTATTGCGGGTACGATTACGACGATATAAATAAGCTCGCATTATGGAAAAGTAAAAGAGGTAATGATATCGTTTTAGTGATAAACTACATAATAATTGAAAACAATAATAAAATTAAACTTATGCGCGCTTTTGAAAGAAAACAAAAACATCAATTATATGATCTACTTCCAGCTGTTTGCACTCCATACTCTGTTGTTAATTGTTATATAAATGACGTTTAGAATTGACATTGACATATCTATAATGACGTTTCATCACAGATAAGAAACAACATCACCACTCTTTAGTTTCTTCTCCGGTTAGAGGAATCTCATTTCGAAACGGTGGGTAGTGGAGTAGATTTGAAGAAAATTACATTTGTCAAACGAATTGTATTTTCTCACGTCAAAGAAATAAACTTAAAATCATTTTATTTCATAAATGTCAGCCATAAACATGGACAGATATTTATAATGACTGCCCAATATCTATCCATTATTCTATTTTTCTACATTCGTTCGCCCTTATGAGGCTGACTATGAGGGAGGGCTATGTTCAAAAGTAGGCTTATTAGGCCGTCATAAATTAATGAATATTTACAAGGCAACTCTTTGTCACATAAACGTTGTGCCGCCTGTTGAAAAGAATTAGCGAAAACACATAGAATTAAAACGTAAAGTAAGACGTAAAATATATTTTATTTTGGAAATTTTATTTTAATTAGAATTGTACAGTAAAGGCGCATGCCGAGAGACCAACCAGCGATCATTTTACTCTACAGTGCGGATTTGAGCCCCTTTAGGGTATATGTGTTCTGTGGATATGAGTGAACTCGCTTATAGCGACTAAACTATCGGAACTACAGACTCTCGCTGCTCGCCAACTCCTATCTAAATAGTTTCTATACATCTACACTCCATAGTTTCTAGCTCTACTCGCTCCTCGTCTATCGTTGGCGTTCGGTCAAGTGTATACTGCGTTACAAGCGTATAACGCAGTAACTAAATTTTAGTTGCACTTCTGAGCGTTGCGGAATTAAGTACTGTACACAGAGTAGCTATTTTAAAACAGATAATAATATAGGTTTTAATGTTTATCAATTTATGTTTGTACCACGGTAAAAGAAAAATGTTAGAATAACGTCGTTAAAACTTATAAAGAAATAAAAAAGAATTGCAGTATATCTATAAATATTATTACAGCCTATTAAAACTCCACTGTTAATGCTGAACTCAGGTCTTCCTATAGATTGCACAAGCGGATATTTGCCAGTTTCCATACTTGGCAAGCAGTTTGGCAATCGTAGTTTCTTATTATTTTGAGCTGTTATCAAGAAGATTCTGCTGGCCACCTCATGTTTCATTGTCTGAAATGTGCCAATTATATTATTATAGGCCAAATCCTACGTAGGTACTAAGTACGTACGTTTGTTATTGAATAATTTATATATAAATATTACGAGCACTGCATTGATAATTCTAGATAATCTGTCGTCATCAAATATGGTTTTCTTCATTTTTAAAGAAACAGAAATTGTAGAAGACCAAAACCAATTATATAATTTTTAAGATGCTTGTTAGTTGCAGCATTTTTTATTGTATTTTTACTGGTAGAGTCAAGTTGCAGTTATATTATGTAGTATTGGTGAGCTCGCCTGGGAAAGGACCACTAGAGGACCTTTTTAGTGGAAACGAGGAATATCATCTTAGTTCACAGGGGTGACAACGAATGAAGAATGGATTCGTTTAAGAAACCGGTTCTAAATCAAAGGTAGAGGTCTATGGGTCACAGCATTCACATTCTACCCGATGATAACTGTCGTTTTTCACTATTATTCATTAAAAATAATCGATTTCATATCATTTCAACTTTTACACTAATTTAAAAATTAATATGTATTAAGTAATATATAACTATATTATATTTGAAGCGTGGTAGTCACGCTGCAGCTATATTATAGTTGTAGTATTCACACTATTGAAATATGTATTTGCATATTTCAAAAATTCGTTCCGTTTTGCAAAAAAACAATACCTACAACATAAGCATGCGGTATTTGTCCCAAAGCTGTTTGAGCGAAAACGATCTTTCAATTTATCTGGCGTGTAATTGAACGTTCTTGACATTGTTGCGACGCGGTTGATTTCCATTTTGCGTCCATGACTTTGGCAGTTTGACTACGATCACGGTTCCTCTGTAAATCTAAACATACGGCACTTATGACAGTGTGTCAACCAAGTTCAGAAAAGGAAAGGTTGACGCACCGACAGTGTGTCGGGCCAATTCAAACTCCGAATAATCAAAAATGATTAGATCTACACTTCTAATTTTGCATATATAATAAGGACCCCTTGTAAAGTTAATTCTCGGATTCCTAAACTTCACGAATAAAACTATTACAGTTCTTGAGTTATTAAGGTCAGAAAAGAGCCTTCCAGAGACTTCCAGACACACTCATCAAAAACCTAGGCCATTTCTAGAAAGACGCCTTTAAATCTCGTGCTGTGTAACGGTATCTTAAAATTGAACAGCGTTTAGGTGTTTGGGCATTCAAAACTTAAAATTTGGCATCAATATAGGTTAATAATATTAATAGAATTCATCTCTTGCCATGAGATGAGATGACGTCCTCCCAAGATCACAACGTATAAGGATAGCTATCCGCATACCTAACTTTTCTCTTCGACAATATCATCTGACAAACCAATACCAAATTTAATCATACAGCGATCAATATTAGATATCTGGTATTGGGAATACTAATATACCTACCAAGCACCAAGCGTGACATACTATATCCTCGCATTTGATTCCTCATTGGTGTAGTGGTCCTAAACGCATTTGATAATCATGAGGTCCCGGGTTCAAATTCCGTGTCGGGCCGCAATCAGTTTTAGGGTTTTTCTGTCAAGAAGTTCTCAGCCCGGAGTCAGAATGTTAGCGATGTTTCACCCCCGTGTATCAGAAAGCACGCCTGCGTCAGATTTATTTCCGCTCGTGTCGGACTATGAGAGTAAGGTAACAGATAGTGCAATTATGCTTGTGCATATAATCCATACACTCGCGTACTATAATCCTGTCCTACGCGGATGGCTAGTCTCCGTTGCTTTAATTATATACAGGTACATAATCAAAGCTCCGTTGAGACTGGCCGCCATGACCGCAATTCGGTCTGGAGTCTGGAGGACGTTACTATTGTGCCTCCCAAATACATGATAGATCTTATAGATATGATATGACAACTTTTGGATAAAGTTGAGGCTTGAAATTTATTTTAATTTTGACCGTGATGGTAAAGTACCTTAAATAAATAAATTCCCTCTCACCCATGATGATGATCATAATTACAAAAAATGCAATTTATTTCCGGCCTTATAATTATTGTTCATTATAATTTATTATTTAATTAATATAATTAGCGCCCGTATTATATCAATTGCAAATAAAACTGTAAACATTATCGACTGGCAGCAATCGATCGTATTATACTATTACAACATAAACCAATACGGCCCGCCGACGTACCGGAGTTGCACCAGGAATTACAATTAACTACAATGTTATGCTTAGAGTTTCATAGTTTTGCTATGACGATTTAGATATCTGTAGAGCTAGACGATGAATGAGTGTTTTGTTATGCAAAACAAACATCTCAATTTTCGACAAACTTTTACAGCTGGGTATACAGCCTTACGTACGTAGTACATACGTGTACATAGGTATTTGCGTACGATGCTGATATTGTATACAATAATGGGGGCGTAAAATAATTTATTTTTCTATATCACGTAAAATTTGTTTTATAGTCGATAAGAGAAATATTGTGGTAGCCAGCCAGAACAAAAATATTCCACAAAAATTTCAGTATCAGATTGATTTTGTTTTGTTGAATACAAAGGTTGTTTCTTCATCAGCTCGTAATATTATAGTACAGCTGGATATGGGCCTCTTTTGAGAGAGGGTACCTGACTTACTTGTCACATGATGTACACACATGGCGTTTCGCAAATTTGAGGTTGTTGCTCGTTGGGATTTTCGTATTAGTGGACTTTAATAATCGAGGAGATTCCTAAATCAGGTGTATTTTTTTTATAGAATAAGATAATTTTTGCAGGTGGTCAGAGGCCCAATTCCCCCTTAACACGGAGGCGAAATCAATTAAAGAACTACCCCAGGAGGATACGAGCACCCCTGGTTACGGAGAATTCCTCGCTGAGCATCCACGGTCAAGTTATCCTACTCTTCCTGAGCGTGGGTGCTCAGGCTGCTTCGCGTATTCTGGGGGGGGGGGGGACAATTCCGCTCGCGACTACAACTGCTCGAGGCTAGCGGAGCAACAACACCAAGGCGACCCCTGACCCCGTCTTCATCATCTTGCATCTTTCCAACCCAGGATACAAATTAGAACACTTCTTTGCGCCCCGGGCTGGAGTTTGCGTATACTTCAGAGAGGACATCTATTTTAGACGCCTCGGTAGCCTTGAAGGTACGGCGCTGTCTATCCTATGGCACAGCGACGACCAGCCCCGCGTCTACGGGCCACGTAGCGGTAATGCCAAAACAGACCGATTCATCGACCACGTCCAAATGGCTAACGTTTAACCGATCATGCGGGGTATCACAGTTTGACACAACTGGTTACTTCGCCTACGCGGATTTCAGATGTGGATGATCATACACCTTCCCTGTAGGATCTTCTGCTGACCTCTCATCTAGACGGATATCACGTTTCCGTCGATGCCCCTCTAGGCTCGTCGGACCATTGACTTCTCCGGAGTGTGGTGCCAGTCACATTAACGTCGCTTTTGGTGGTGATGTGGTACTTCAGGGTAAGAAACTTTTATTTCATCCTCTTTGGTGCTCATCGGAGGTAGATTCCCAGCCACGAGAGGCGGAACGTTTGCTTTGTCGCTCCTGTGAAATAGAATCACGCTATAAGCAGGAGTGCTACCGGCCCTGGGCTGACGCATCAACGTCTCGAGATGTAAGCACCAGCGCTCTTAAAAAGAAGTATAATTCCGCCTTCAGGTCTTTCAAAAGATTCATTGCCAAGGCAAGGT